CCCCCCCCACTGGCATCCCCTGTGAGCCAGTGGGAGGCGAGGCACAGCCAAAGTCAAGGTTGAGGAGAGCCGAGGAAAGGAGCAGTAAGGGTAGCAGGAGTTGGAGGCTGGTCAGGGGAGTGGACATCAGCTCTGGAGGCCTAACCGCCCGCTGATGGCCCTCAGGGCGGGGGTGTGATGCGGGGAAGGTAGGCTGCTGGAGCCAGCCAGGGACAGCCCCAGCCTGGGTGTGGTGGGAAAAGGGCAGTGGGTACTCTGCAGCTGCCTCATAATCCTGGCACCACCCCAGGAAGAGACACCCTTGCCTCCTCCCAACTGAGCTGGAGGAAAACACAGGGTCGATGCCAAAGAAATTACAGCGGCCCCTCAGTGGCCATTTGTGGACTGAGAGCCTGAGAAGCAGTGTTGTTGCTGAGTAGTCCTATTTCTCCCACTGGGCGGCTGGGGACACTGGGGCCTCCAGCAGGAGGGGAGCGGCTTGGGGAGGGAGCAAGAAGGCAGGAGTAAATGGATGCAGGAAGGAGTCTGAATAGACTTCAGTGAGACCTTTATGTCCTAAAGGGGTCCCCAGGACCACAGAGAGAAGGAGGTTAGGGAGAGTCCTTCTGTTGACCTGAATTCAGATTGGGTGGGGGCAGGTAGGGAGTGGGATGCTGGGTCTAAGGCAGAGAATGGACTGTGTGACGACAGAACTTTACATCAGCAAGTTTGTGTGGGGAGCTCATGGCTGGTAGCAGGAACACCGGTCTCCTTTCCATGTGGGAATGGTGAGGCAGGGCTGACGTGAGAATTAACGCACTTTCTCCCCAGATCTGGAGGGAAGGTGTGCAGAAGTGCGGGAGGATTCCGACAGCCCACAGGTGCCAGGACTGGCTGGGCTGCTGCCTTGGTGGGGTTTAGGTGAGCCCACCACAGGCTTTCGGGCAAGGAGGCAGGGCAGGGCAGCGTCAGGACCAGGTAGGAAGGCCTCACCTCTTTCGTTTTATGCTTTCCATCCTCTCTGGGGTCTGAAGAATCTGGGTAGGCCAGGAGACAGAGGGCCCTACTGGAGGCTTATCTTGGCTGGGACTGGTAAGACCTTGGGTCAGCGAGGGAAGCCCAGCAGGCTGGACAGTGGGCCAGGTGCCCTTCAACCCTCAGTTCCAGCCAGACACAGCCCTGACAACTGACCTGTGAACTGGGCCCATCCCATGTCCCCTACGAGCCCTCACCTGACCTCTCACTTCCAGCCCTCACTGGCCTCCCCCTCCATGCTCCCTGCCCAGCTCTCACCTGACCTCTCACCTCTTACTGCACCCAGCTTTGCTCCCTCATCCCCTCACCCTGCCCAGCCCTCACCTGGCTCCTCAGCTCCGGCCTGCACCCCGCAGCCTCTGGTCCAGCTGGCAGAGCTGGTGAAGGAAGCCTCGGTTGGGGAAGACCCAGCGGTGCTGCCTCACGGTGATCACTGCCTGGCGCAGGGACATCTGCTGGTGCAGCATGAGGTAGGCCAGGACCAGTGTGGCGGAGCGGCTCACACCTACCACACAGTGCACCAGGACCTTGGCTGAGGAAGACATCCTGGTGAAAGATCCTTTCCCACTGGCAGGCCCACCCAGGTGCTGGGGTGGGGACCCAAGTTCTTTTCCTTACTCTGCCTAGGGTGGACTCCGTGACAAACCCTGGCCAAATCATTCAACATCTATGGGCCTCAGTTTCTTGATCTGTCAAATGCGTAGACCAGAACCTATTTTGCCTACCCTTGTGATGGGGTCCCAAGTCCTTAGCATGGCTTATAAGACCCTCCATGAACAGACCCCCGCTGATCCTGCAGCCTCATGTCAGGCTGTCCCACCCTGACCTTCAGCTCTAGGAACACAGGGTAATTTTCAGTTCCCTGAAGCTGTCATGGTCTCTGGCCTCCAGCCTTAGCACATGCTATTCCAATGCCTTGTAAATCCTTCCCCCTGCTCTTGGTCTGACTAACATTCACTACTCATCTGTCAGGTTTCAGCTTCTTCGCATAGGCTTTCCTGACCACTCATGGTATCGCCTGAATCACAGAGCAGCTCATCCTTTTTGTATGTGGCCCAGTGACTACTGCTGTAGAGGGAAGTCACCCTGCCTCCTCTGAATTCAGCACCCCTGCCCTGTGCTCCCACAGCTTTTCACATTTGCCCACTCATATGAGTAGCACTCATAATACTTTACATTTTGACCCTCTTTCCACCAAACACAATGACAGGTTCTGCAAGGGCAGGCACCTTGCCTTGTCTAAGTGTGAATTCCCAGCATCTAGCTCAGTGCCTGGCACAGAGAAGATAATAAATAGCTGGTGAGTGAATGGATGAAAAAATGAATGTCAGAGTGCTTTGGATATTAAGCAGCGCTATGAGGCGCGGTCTTGTCTCTCCCATCACACAGATGAGAAACTGAAGTCCAGAGAGGGATGCTGGCTTGCCCGGGTTCAGGTAGCAAGGGTCACAGCTCTCACCCAGAATAAACACATGATAGGGCTCAGCCTCCCCCAGGTCCCTTGTTGTCCCCTGGGTGTTAGAAGTTTTTTTCCATTTGAAAGTACTTTGAGGCACCAATCAGACATCTAGGTACCAAATGTCGATTTCCAAAGGCTGAGTGCTGCATAGAAACAACTGTTTTGCTGTTTGGGAGGCCTGGCTTCCAGCCCCAGGGCTGCTCCTAACTTGTGGCATGGTCTTGTATTCCAGGCCTCAGTTTCCCCGTATGTGAAGCTATGTAGTTGGATAAGTTGTTGAAGCACTGAGCAGAGGATTTTTAAAAACCTGATGGCTTTTTAAAAACTAGGGATGGTTGGGATCCTCCCCTGACACCTCTGGGAGGACCCAGTGCGGCTCTCACTACAGAGAGTGCTGTGCCTTTCCCTGCCCCCTCCCCCCAGGTGCACTTTCCTTGACTCTCTCCTTCTCCTGGGTTTGGGGGCCCTTCTTTTGCCTCTGTGGCTTGTTTCCTGAGCCCATTTCTTCTATGGCTCACTTCTACCTCTGTGACTTTCTGGATAAACCTTCTCTTACAGTCTGAAAAAAATAAAATAAAATAAAAAACACCAAAAAACTAGGGATGGGAGGGCACTGATGTTTGAAGGGAAACTGGACATCCCCCCATGACTGAACAGGATGGATATGAGATCAGACCCCTGTCCTACCCCCGGGTGTGCTGAGGCCACGGTGGATGAAGTCAGCTGCAGAGGAGAAGTAGGCACTGATGTCAAAATCAGGGAGGTCGTGGGCTGGCACTCCCAGATAGCTCACACTGCTGCCGTAGAAGTCAGGGCCGCCCTGACAGTAGAGGCCCCCGTGGGCGGCGTTCAGCACGTGGGTGATGCCCAGCTTCCATAGCTCAAAGCGGTTATTTGCTGTGGCCCTGGGGAAGGGAGGAAGGGGTCTGGATGCTGGCTGAGCCATGGGGTCCTGGAAGGAGGCTTTGTCAGGCCCTCTACTTCAGAAGGATGGAGCCATTAGGGTCCAAAGGGAGTCGGAAGGAACCCAGCAAGCTAGAGCTGGGATCCACAACTCAGAGCTTTCTGGTCAGAGAGCTGGTGGTATAGGAAGTTATCTTTAGCCCCTCTTTGCTTCCTGAGGTCATCTTCCCCTGCCCGGGCTAGGACTGGAAGGGATTGCCTCACCCCTGGAACCTAGCTGCCCCACCCTTCCTCCATGCCCTATGCCTTCCCACACACTTCCGGCCTTCCATGGCCACTACCTCATACCTGCTTCTACTCTGCAAATGTTTAGAGGTGACAACTTTCCTGATTCACCTTTAGTCAGGCTTCCTTGCCCACTGTGTCCAGAAGAGAGAGGCTAGGACCAGGAAGGGAAGCTCTCTGTCTAATCCATTTCATACCCCAAATCACCACTCCCCAGGCCTCTGCCTCCCAAACTCCTCAATTTTCCTGGACGTGCCAGCAGACTCCTGGAACTTCTGGGAGCTCCCCTTTCAGGCAGGCAAAGTCCCCTTCCCCTGGGGGCTGCATCTGGTCATTGCATGGTCCTCAGCACACAGGGGTCCTGGACAAAGTCCCTGGCCTAGAATGCTGAGAGCAGAGCTATTTCTCCATGTTCCCATCCCACCCCTATCTCTGGTAAAGAGCCCGAGAATGGTCTCTACTTGTTCCCACTCCCACACCCCTTAGGCCAGCTACCACTCACGCATCTCCTATGTAAAGGTTGGGCCAAACTTCATCCACCCGGTTGCAAGAAGAAATTTCCCCCTCCCTCAGGAGCTCCTCCAGTTCCACAACGCTGGGGCAAGGAGTGGCTTCGGTATCTCCCCTCGGCTCTGGGAGCAAGGCCTCAGCCATGGGCCAGCCCACCCACTTCTCTGTCTCTGCCGTCACTCCTCTCTGCCTCTCCAGTGTCACTTCTCCTTCCCAGAGATTGGCAGGGACAGGTGGAACAGAAAGAAGTGACTCAGCATGTCACAGGGGCCTCCAGAGAGAACAGGACATTTTCTTCCCCAAGTCACCCCTGACAACCCCAAGCTCCATGACTACGTGAAATCAGACGTACCCCTGCAAACCACTCTATCCCTCCACCTCAGTTGCTTCATCTGCAAAGTAAGGATAATTGCACCTACCTTAAAGAACTGTGAGGACTTCATGAAACAAAGGCTATTCTGTCTCTAACACGTAGTATACGCTTAAGAAACATTTTTGAACAGGTTTAGAGGCCTGAAAAGGCTATTCCATTCTGAGGACTGAGTTAAAGCAGAGATCCTGGGTGGAGAAGGGGTGGTTGATTCCAAGGATGAATGACAGAAAAAGCACTGCAAGCCTGGGTCCAAACTGTACAGCTGTCGGATGAGTCTCCAGATTTAGGGCTCAGGAGAAGTTTCCTGAGTTGCAGAGTCAGAGAACGACCAGGGGGAGGCATGGAGGACCTCATCTAAAGGCTGCCCACAGCGTTCACGGGTGAAGGTTTGAACAGTGATTTTGTCATGAAGGTGGCTGATTTCTCAAAAGAGAAGGCCGAAAGGAGCCGTGTAAGTCAAAGGGGGAGAAGGGAGGTGAATGTTGCCCTTGACTTTCTGAAGAGCCTCCGGGCCTATTGTCAGAAACATTTTTGGGTTGGGAGGGGTATCCCTCTAATTATAAGGGCTTTTGTCTCCACAATAGGAACTGAGGAAGCATATCGGTCCTTCTGCCAGAGCTAGTTATTGGGAAAAGAAGTGAGGTGTCTTGCCTGCTCTCAGATGACTTCCTGAAGGCCCGAGGGCGCTGGGAGAAGGGCCGGCTGCTGCAGGAAGGCTCCCTGCTGCCCCGGCCTTGAGTCCAACTGGAGAGTAAAGTCCACACAGGACATCCCATGTAAACATGTTTACCCTGTCCCCATCCGCATTAGAGCCCCTGAGGTCTGTCTTGCACCGCTCGGGAAGCAAAACCAAGTTGGGGCTGGAGCCCAGGTCACAGACGGGTTTGGACGTGGCCTGGAGCGGCTGGGCAGAGCCTGGGCAGCTCCCACAGGGCAGGGCGGTACAGCGGAGGGAGAAGCGCGTGGGCTCTAAAGCGGGCCAGTCTGAGTAGGAATAGTGGCTTTAGCACACGGTAGCTGCCCTAATTCGAACAAATTTCTTGGCCGTGTAGAGTCGGCACAAAGCTTAAGTGAGATATTTACATGGTCTTTGGCACAGGGACTGTCAGAGGGTAACTGGGCAATGAAGGGTAACAATGATCATTATGAGTTGGCTCTTGGAGAGGACCTGGCTGCTCCCTCTAGAGGAATTAGGATAATTTCCCTTTGTCCTCAAACCCCATTTACTAACCTCGCCGGCCCCGCCCCACGGTCCCTGTCCCATCTCCCTCGGCCTTTCGGCTGTGGGTCTGACGCATGCGCCCTTGGGGTTTCTTGCCGAGGCGCTCTCGCTCGCCTCCCGAGCTCCGCGTCTCTTCCGGTTTTGGCACCGCCCCCCTCCCGTAGGGCTCCGCCTCCCGTCAGCAGGGCCCCGCCTCCTGAAGCAGTTCCGGTTTGGTTTTAGAGCAGTTGCCGGATCCGCCGAGACCTGGGCAGAAGCCATGCCCGCGCGCAGCCGCCACCGCTCGCGCCTCCACTCCAGGTCCCCTCCCCGGGCTCCGCCCCCGCCGCTCGTGGCGCTTCACTCCGGCGAGGCTCGGAGGGCCCCGGACTCAGACGGCGGCTCGGACGCCGACTCGGACCTGGGTCCCGGCAGCCCGCCTGGGACCGCGGAGGTGAGCGAGAGCTGAGGCGAGCGGGAGCTGAGGCTGAGGAGAGGGGAGTCTACCCCGCACCTGCAGCCAAGGGCGAGTGGGGTGTCAGGGATGAAGCCGGGGGCTGCCGAGGACAGGGAGCCGGAGGGGCCGCGGGAGACGGTTGAGGGAGCCCTGAGAGTCGGCTCCAGAATGGAATCTGAGGGAAATGGAGGTTGTTGAGCCGAGGGCCCGAGGGGGATGGCGATGGCCAGAGGCTGGGGGGTAAGTAGAGGCTGCGGGGCAAGCGGAGGCTGAGGGGCAGGAGGCAGTGGGAGACCGAGGGAGATGGAGCCTTGGAAAGGCCGGGGCTTGGAGGGTTTTGAAAGCCGGGTAGTGAGAGGAGGTCGAAGAGGCCCTGGGGAGTATGGGACGGGAGGGGGAGATGCTCTGGGGATAGGCGGTGAGGGCGAGGCGACCGCGTGGCCGGAGAGACGGAGCGGGGCGGGGACTGACGGGAGACCGCTGACCGGAGCGCGGTGGTGGTAACCGGGGGAAGCACTTAGGTTTGACTGGATGAGGGAGGGGTCTCGGATGGGAAGTCGTCTGGCCCTAAAGGGCCAGAAAAAGAGAAATGGAGTTAAAAAAAGAAAAGGAGCCCTTGGGGATCCAATTTCGGGCTTTGGCATTTTCACAGGTGTCTTTCAAAGCGTCGGGGATGGCTCGGGTCATACACTGGGACTGCGGGGCTTTCTCCTCAGCGGACAGCGGATCCTTTTGAAATCTGGGGCGGGAGGGGCGGT